TGCGCCGCAGGGGATTCGGGGAGCGGTCTTTATCCCTTTTTGCGGAAGTCTGCTCGTGGTCACCTGGTCGGGTTTTTTTAATGCTGGAATTGCAGGAGCCCGTTTCCCCGAGCCCCCCCCCCCCCTGCGGCTGAGTTAGGACTTTAGCTTTACATTGTTTTATACTATCGTATAAATTATTGCTGCTGTGTTTTATTTTTTTGTTTTGTTTTTTAGTTTCTTCTTTTTATTTTAACTGTAATTTTTCCTATGATTGTTTGTAAAAATGTGATTATAAATGATCAATAAGACATATAAATAAAAATGAATAAAAAATAAATAAAAAATGAATAAAAAAACTGATTGGGTGAACGTTTGCGCGCTGCGCTGGTATTAATGTGAAGTCATATTTTAATGATCTGATTGTAACATTGGTTTGCAACAAAGAGAAAATGTATCTCCGATGCTATTTGCTCTTTTTTTTAAAGTGACTTCAAACAATTATTGTTTTTTTTAGTTTTTTTCTTTTTGTTTTAACTGTAATTTCTGCTATGATTGTAAAAATGTGATTATGAATGATCAATAAAACATATAAATAAACAAATAAAAAAAAATATATAAAAAAAACTGATTGGGTGAAAGTTTGCGCGCTGCGCTGGTATTAATGTGAAGTCATAATTTAATGATCTGATTGTAACATTGGTTTGCAACAAAGAGAAAATTTATCTCCGATGTTATTTGCTCTTCTTTAAAGTGACTTCAAACAATTATTTTGCGAAAAGTTTGGAGTAAATGTTCGAACTGCCAAAATTGAGGCAGCTAGTTATTATTATCATAATTATTACCAGTAGTAGTAGTAGCAGTAGAAGTAGTACATGTACAGGCATGGTACTAGCAGTGTAGTAGTAGTAGTAGTAGTAGTAGTAAAGTAACTTAGTAGTAGGCCTTCATGTAGTAGTATTATCATCATTGATATTATATTGTTATTATAACAATTATCATCATCATTATCCTTATAGTACTAGTATAATAGTACATGTAGTTGTATCATTTACAAAACAAGAATGTTAATATTCGGGCAATTGAATAATTACCATGTTTTTATCACACACAGGTAATATCACATCGTTAGGATATGGGGCTAGCTTTAGGAGACGCATATTCTATTTTTGTAAGGCTCAATGCTAGCTCAACTTTCCTTCAGATATGACAAAAGGGAACCTTTATAATTATGCATTTTGTGTTCTGAACTCGTTTTTTCATGTCATTTCGGTTATCATGATTTCATCATCTACACATAATCATAATTTAGATTAAGATAATAGATGAACTTTTACATTATCAATATCATCATCAGCAGCAGCAGCACCAGCATAATCACCATCACTATAATCACCATCATCGATCATCATCATAGTCGTCTAGAGGCGTCGCACCGGGGGGGGGGGGTCATAGTGCCCCCCCCCCAACTTTTCCAAGTACAAAAAGTGCCCCTTTTTACATGGGAAAATGCACCTTTTACTTTAACAAGTGTCACTATTAATTTGTAAAAGTGCTCCTTCCCCTTTCCATCTCTGATAAGTGCCCCTTTTATTTTGACAAGTTTCCATTTCCCTTTGCAATAAGTGTCTATTTTCCATTCTCATTATGTGCCTGTTTTAATCTCAAGTAAATTCCCCTTTTGCTTTGACAAGTTCACCTTTTCCTTTGTAAAAAGTGCCCCTTCCCCTTTTAATAACTACACCTTTTTAACTCGGATAAGCGCACCTTATATTTTTTCATGTGCCCCCTCTCCTTTTTAATAAGTGCCCCCAATTTAAAAAGAGCCCCTTTCCATTCTCATAAATGCCCCTTTTCATCTATGAATATAGTTCCTTTTCATTCTCATAAGTGCCCCTTTTCTTTTCTTGTAAATAACCCTATTCAATTCTGAGAGATACTCGTTTTAATTGGACAAGTGTCCCTTCCCCTCCTGATAAGTGCTCTTTTCATCTCAAATGCCCCTTTTTATTTTGACACGTCCCCCTTTTCCTTCCTAATAAATGCCCTTTTTCCTTCTTATAAGTGCCCCTTCCCCTTCTTACAATTACCCCTTTTCATCTTTGATAAGTGCCCCATTTATTCTAACATTTACCTCTTTTTCTTTAAAATAAGAGCCACTTCCCCCATGTAATAAAAGCCCCCTTTCACCTCCGATAAATGCCCCTATTAAAACCTGATCGGTGCCCTTTTCCTTTCAACAAATGCACATTTCCCTTTATTATTGGTGCCCCTTTTTCATGCTCAGAAGTGCCTCTTGTCATGTATGGTCAGTGCCCCTTTTCAGATGCGATAAGTGCCCCTTTTCACATCTGATAATTACCCTTTTAACAATGATATGTGCACCTTTTCACTTCTTATGAATACCCCTATCAAAATCTGATGGCTGCCTCTTTTCCGTCCGACTCGACAAATGCCCGTTTCCCATTCTCATAAAATCCCTTTTTATCCCTGGTGCTTGCCTCTTTGTTTAGGAGTAAGAAATGCCCCATGTTCACCTCTGATAATTAGCCTTGTACTTTGACACATGGTCTTTTTCTTTTCTAATACGTGTCTCCTGTTCCTCTCATCATCACCGTCACCATAATCACCACCACCATAATCATCTGCATCATCATCAGCGTTATCAGCAACGCCATCATAATCAACATCACCATTATCATCACAATAATCATAACCACCATAATCACCATCTGTATCATAATCACCATCTGCAGCAGCATTATCAGCATCGCCATCATAATCAACATCACAAAATCACCACCACCATAATCGTTACCATCAATACAATTATCACATTTATCACATTTATCACAATTATCACATCTAATTACAATTTCAGAATCACCATGCACTGTCTTTTATTCTCATCCTCTCTCAAATGATATATAGTTACATGAACTACTCGATTGTTTGATCCCTTTTTTGCAACATGGGGGGGGGGGGGTGGGTTGACAATTTAATTTAGTGCATTTCAGGAAAATGTCCCTCTGTTTGTACAAGAAAACTTAAAAAATTTGTATTTTCCCATATGAAAATTTGCAACCATACATTCCCCCTAAATATAATTATTGCAAATATATTTGCTTTGGGGTACTATTCGATATCAATAACTGAGAAAATGGTATTTCATGAAATTATTAGAGCAAATTGAAAAGGAGCTTGCAAGATGGTAATTTGTGTTTCACTGATGACAACTTCAAATTTTAATAAATTCCCTGTTTTTCAGAATATTGGTCAAACTTTCACTTTCATTTCTTCTCTCATTTATCTGCTTTTATTTAAACCATCCTAATATCAGGGTGGACTTCCCTTTAATTGGAAAAACACTGTATTAAAGGTACTATGTCCCATTTGCAGGCCCAAAAAATGAAAAAGTTAAATTCCAACTGCATTTAAAAGATAATACTAATTTAGAACTTCCCTAAAAAAAGGGGGGGGTGGCTTGAAAATGTCTTCAAGTGGGAAAATAACGACTATTAGTTGTCAAATCGACTTAGGAGCTATAGAGCCAATAAGTAATATTCTTGATTTTCAGACCTTTGAACCGCATGGTTGTACGTTTTATGCTGTGCAAAGATTCAATCAGTTTAATTTTGGCCAATTCAAGAAGTGGGTTATTGATGTAGACAAATGCTCATGTACCCTTTACAGCTCATTTTATGTATGTTATTACCAAAGAAGGAAAAAAAGCCAATCAGTCACTCAATAGTGTCTGACAGTGAAGTCTAGCAAGTAAACGGGTTTCCTTGCATAATTTGAATATTCGGACACTGCTAACGTTTAATTTTACAGATAGGACATACATGACATATTCATATTTCCTGCAAAGTTCTACAGCATTCGAGGTTGGCTGCAAAAGGGACATAGTACCTTTAAAGGGACTTGGTAGCATTGTTCAGATGAGAGGAAATGGTGCTAAGGCAGTGACTTCCATGTTTGATGTACAATTAAAGATAATCTGAAAGTTTGAGTGAAAACAAACCACTATTAATGACAACAATTGGAGGAAACTGATCTGATCAATTCTTTAATTCTTCCAACTATATTATTACAATTTAATTACATTTTAGGTAAATTGAAATCTTCACAAAGCAATGAATTGGCCATTGAGACATTTAAGTGTTGAAAGATTTGTAAAAGCCTGTCTTATGTCTTATTTTCATGGAAAGACGGTTGGGAAATTTCAAAGATGGTTAAGAGAATTTACTGTTAGAGGATGTCGCACAGTGAAACCTTCAAAGAAAACCATAAATATCTTTGTGGTTTGAGAATAATGTTTACACGTTGGAGGGCAAGTAGGGTAGTACAGTATGAGGAGAAGATGAGTTTTGGGGAGAGGTGGCAAATAAGTTGTGAGTTGTATCATTGTTATCATGCAAATGTGAAAGAACATCAGACCAAAAAAAATGTTTCCTGTAAAGGATATGGGTCTTCAAATGCCTTCATATTCTAAATATTACATGTAACAGAATAAAAATGTTGGTCTCATTTTATTCCACATTTTTGTGTTGTATCATTTACATCCTGTTTACAGTGATTGTCACTTTTACCAAGACTGGGCCAAATTTCTTATCATTTTGATGATTCCAGAATTTTGCAGTACACATCATTATATATGCTATATGGTCAAGTGATCAATTCCACACCATTTCTTTCACACTACCAATCGCATGACCAAAACTCAACTTCATCTTTTATATTTTCGTCCGAGGAATTTTTCCCCCTGAATCCGAGCATGCATCGAAAACATAGGGGAGGGGTCTCGTTTGCATATAACATACGGGGCGACAAACATTTTGGCCCAAATTCACAAAGAAGGTTTGTCGACAAACCAAGATTTGTAAAAACGCGTCAAAACGCGTCATATATGACGCACGTAAACCTAGGTTTGTCGACAAACCTCCTCTGTGAATTCGGGCCTATATGTCTGCTATATTATCATGTAAATCAATGAGATAGATATACAAATACACAATTAATTGACTTTTGCCCATGCTTTATTTGTATCGTTTGAAAGTCAAGCAATGTGAGAAAAGGAAATCATAATGGAGGCTTGTTCAGATATGGCGCTGTACAAACCTCCGCGATTTATATCATGTTAAATGTAGGGCAACCGCCCGCAACCAAGGCTAAGCTTTGTACTATTGTACATTCAGAAATGGAAAGGGTATTGCAGTATTTCCCCGTCATATCTGAACGAACCTTAACAGTCGATTCACCACTGATCATATACAAAGTAGGAACATAATTATATAGCGCGCGTCCAGCCATTGAGGGGGCATAGATTTAATGCTCTGAGGAAGGGGGAGATCCGAATAGTTTGATAAGATGTCAGAGAATGATAATGTCAGATGGATTGGGGTAGGTTGTAGTTTTATGTGCACATTCACCTCTTCCCTTTTGTATGTGTTCGGGCACTTCACCAACAAAATCAAATTATATGAAATTACTTGGTATAACAACCCAAGATAATCTTAAATGGGATCTACACATCAAAACCATCGTCAAAAACGCATCACGAAAACTATATGTACTGAGCAAACTTAAAAGGAACGGTGTCAACACTCGGGACTTGGTATTGATATACATGATGTACATTCGTCCGTGTCTTGAATTTGGTGTACCTGTTTGGTCATCTAGTTTAACTGTTGTCCAAGTAAACAGCATTGAGCGACTGCAGAGGAGAGCATTGGGTATCATCACTGGTACATTTCCCGACACCATGTCTTATGCTCAACTTCTGCAGTCGCTGAGTGTTGTCAGACTGTCTGAACGACGCTCTGTTCTTTGCGAAAAGTTTGCTAAATCCCTAATGATCTCAGACCGCCACCGCCATCTCTTACCTGAAACTAGACAAACTATCTCACAACGCACTCTCCGCAACTCTCTCCAGCTCAATACCCCCAAAATGAGAACAGAGCGTTACAGACAGTCTCCCATTCCCCACTTCACACGAATCCTGAATTCAAATCTGTAGATATTTTCACTCAATATAATGACTATATGTGACTAAGATGTAATTTATTAATTTCTTGTCATGCCATTTAATGGGATTAAATAATATTTCATAGTACCTGTATAATGATAGGACTATATTCTGTAAGTAAACATAAATTGTATATTTTGTATTATCATATCTCTCGGAAAATCATCTACCGGTATATAAAAATATATTTCTAAAAGAAATGTCAACTAGGTTAAAAAAGACTACTTATTAATTTGAAAGTGTATTACTTAATTGCATATGACATTTAGAAAAGGGTAACAACATATTTTACTATTTAAACGTTACAACTGCATAATTAGAACATGTATTATTTCAAGATTGTTTGAAATTAGTTGTTTAGTTCATTAGAATCAGTAATTAATATAAAAAAGATTGCTAAAAGTATTGATTTCTTTATTCTTGTATGTATTTATAATTTGTAAACTGAATTGTATGAGTCTCCAGACTTTTTATTCAGTATGTTTTTATTTACAATAAAACCAGAATTGAAATTGAAATTAGTCTTTTACCTTTGGATCTAACGAAAAAGATTCATGAAATAGCACTAACCACCATGACCCATGAATATGTGTCCTTTATAACGCTGTCATCAATAATTCTTAAAATATTGCGTGCAATCTTCTTCAAATTACCGTCCGAAATCGCCTGTCGGTATAACGAACCTGTCCGAACACATGACTAAATATTTGCATGGACCCTACCAGCTATTTTAATCAAGTTTACTATAAAAAAAAAAAAAATACTGTTGAATTTTACAATTCTACTTTGGCCTGTTCTTCAGAAGGAAATCCATTATCCTTGATGATCTGGGTGTAGGTGAGCGCCGATTTTTTGGCGCGTCGAGTACGCGCAGGATCGTTGAAATCTACGTGGTACAAACCGAAGCGTTTGCTGACTCCATACTCCCATTCAAAGTTGTCGAGCAAAGACCAAGCGAAATACCCCTGCAAGTTGACACCATCAATTTTGGAGGCTGCATGGAAATAAAATGGATTTAGACTTTATGATAGAATAGTACTCACGAGTATTACTAAGAGGTCATAAGGTACAAACAAAATGTAGCAATACAAAGACAGAAAGTTACCGCATGGCGAATAGATAATAAGGGGGATGGAGAAACTGCATTTGAAGTGTCGTGGTTTAGTGTTTAATGCACCTGCCACGGTTCTCAATCGTAGGTTGTAGTAGGTCCATAGTTTGAGGGTCCGAATCCCAGACCAGCACTAATGTCCTTTGGCAATACAATGCGATATAAATATGAACCTAGCTGTGCCTAGCTGTTTCATAAACCTTGTTATCTATATCAAGTTACGATTGCTACTGAAATCGTGGCATTTGATTGGCTAAAAACAAAGCCATAGAGAGTTAGTATTTGTTATTGATAACAAACAAGTTTTATAAAACAGGGCCCTTCTAAGATAAAGTTGAGTTCTGATCATGCGATTGCATTGTGAAAAGAAACCGTTGTGGGATCTATCAGAAAAGGTTGATCATCTAGCATATTGGTGTGTACTGCAAGTCAGGCGCGTACGCAGGATTTTTTCAAGGGGAGGGTTTTAACATTTATAAATCGGGCCGAAAATTTCGCAACGACTCAGCCGACCGCTGAATAAGCGGGGGGGGGGGGGGGGGGGGGGGGGGGGGGGGTAAGAGGACACTTTTTTTCTTTTTTTTTGGTATCGAAATTTGAAAATTTGACATTTTGCTCCGTTGGGGGGGGGGGGGGGTTAGGGAAAAAAAATACCAAAGAGGGGGGTTTAACCCCCCCCCCCCCCCCCCCCCCCCCCCCCCCCTGTGTACGCGCCTGCTGCAAGGTTCTGGAACCATCAAAATGATAAGAAATTTGGCCCAGTCTGTGTAAAGCTACAAGCACTGTACACAGAGAGATGTTCATGGGACTACACGAACATGTGGCATAAAAGTCCGTCCCGATTTGTATGATGTTACATGCCATATTTAGAATATAAAGGCATTTAAAGAGCCATGCTTTTCAGGGAACATTTTTTTATCTGATGTTCTTCCACACTTGCATAATACATAGATAACACTAACAAATCATTTTTACCTCTTCCCAGAACTCAAACTTCTCTTTAATGAAGGGCATTTTCATGCTGGTGACAAAATTACTAGTAGTAGTAGCACTAGTAGTAGTAGTAGTAGTACTAGTAGTAGTAGTAGTAGTAGTAGTAGTAGTAGTAGTAGTAGTAGCCAAGTGTGTCAGTATAGTAAAACATACATTCATTTGGTCTAGTTCTACTTAATCGCGAGAATTTCGGATGCGATGTGTAAAACAAATCTTGACTTTTTATTTTTCGGATCTCGTTTAAAACAATAGCTCCTCGGTGATCTCCAGAATGCACCATCCTCCTCGACTTCGTTACAGTGGAGTTTCGAGATCACCTAGGTTCATAGTTTAAACCGTGCTTCACACATCGTTTAATATTTGTAAACTATTCTTATTATCATTAATATTATTGTTATTATTATTATTATCATTATTATCATTATTATCAGTGTCATTATCATATCATTCAACATAATTGTGTTTACCTTTGAGAGCTTCATTGATATATGATCGGTAGTACTTGGTTCTAAATTCATCATCCAGGTTCAGGGGCCCGTCTTGCTCAGATACACCGTTCTCTGTGACGTAGATGGGTACGTCACCATAGTTAGTCTTGATCCAATTCAGAAGACGACGGAAACCCCATGGAACAACCTGAATATAGAAAGAAAACAAATGAAAATTATTAGTTAAAGTATTAAAAAAATTATAATGCTTGGAGTAGACAGCTTTATAAATATGTAATTATATTATTGCCAAGAATTTGTTAATCCCCGCTCTCCAAAACAAAAGTTATTCATGAATTACCGCCATCCCTTTGGCAGTAATTATTCTAAATGTGGAACTTCTCTATGTTAAAAAGATCTCTGGATATTTGTGGATCATCTTTTACGTTGTAAATGTGCTATCTGCAATGTGGTCTATTGCTCCGGGCTTTTTTAGTCAAGGGTATAGTTTTAGGGTCAGGGTAAAGTCGGCTTATAGTGGGACTAGGGTGGAAGTTAGCGATTCGATTAGTATTGGAAGCTGATGAGAAGCAAGTGTAGCAATTGTCGTACAAAAGTTTTATTCAGACAGAAATTGAAAACATGTAATCAAATTAAAGAAGTTCCAAAGATCACGAAATCAGTCATGTGTCTGCCTTCGTTCATTCATCATCATCATCATCATAATCATCATCATCATGTCATTAAAGTCAGCATTTTACCTCCAACAAGGGGTTACTGATTTGTGCGCCATGACGACACTCCCTTCCTCCACTCCTTGTGGTCTCAAGAATCCTCCTCATTTAGACCAACATTACTGCTTTCTCTCTTCACCATATCTTTCATTGAAATGTTGGCCTTCCTTTCCATCTAATGTCATCTACTTCCAGATTTCACGCTTATTTCACAGTTTCATCTTCTCTTTCCAATCCGCTTCTTTTTAACAATTCCACCATAGCTCCTTCCAGACCCAACCTTTCCATGAGCTCACCTGTGTTCTTTCCTTCACTATCTTCGTTTTTTTGTATAAAGATGTCAATAAATAAAAGACATACCTTCAGCCATTCAGAGGCAGCTTGGGGCCAGACTGGATCGGAAATGAATTCCGCCTGGAAATCATCGTATACAGTAGGTACGGGGTTGAATTCAGCTTTCTTGTAGGCAACAAATCTGCATGGCGACAAGAAGATTTTCAACATTTTAAACCGACTTTTTTTCAGAACAGGAAAACTGTTAAACCAGTGATTTAGCTGGACGGGTTCCTTTTTCCTAATATATCAGTAACAGCACCAAACTTAATCAAGGTCGTCTTGACTAAAAATACAAACAGAACAAAATGTTTGCAGTTTTTTAAACCCTTCGTTCGAGTCTAAATTCCTCCAGAAAACGCTATTGTTCGATTGGTGCCCCCCCCCCCCCCCCCTCCCAACAAATACACCCCATGCACATATTGACTGGTTTCCATGATGTCTAGTGGTTGGGACTGCCTCTCTCTACCTCCCTATCTCTTTCCATCCCATTTAGGCATGCATAACTGACTGGTTAGGCTTACCTTGTTGAGTAGTGGGTGAGTCTCTCTCTCTCTCTCTCTACCTCCCTACCTCTTTCCATCCCATTTAGGCATGCATAACTGACTAGTTAGGCTTACCTTGTTGAGTAGTGGGTGAGTCTCTCTCTCTCTCCCTCTCTCCCTCCCTATCTCTTTCCATCCCATTTATGCATGCATAACTGGCTGGTTAGGCTTACCTTGTTGAGTAGTGGATGAGTCTCTCTCTCTCCCTCTCTCTCCCTCCCTATCTCTTTCCATCCCATTTAGGCATGTATAAGTGACTGGTTAGGCTACCTTGTTGAGTAGTGGGTGAGTCTCTCTCTCTCTCTCTCTCTCTCTCTCTCTCTCTCTCCCTCTCTTTCCATCCCATTTAGGCATGTATAAGTGGCTGGTTAGGCTTACCTTGTTGAGTAGTGGGTGAGTCTCTCTCTCTCTCTCTCTCTCTCTCTATCTCTCTCTTTCCATCCCATTTAGGCATGTATAAGTGACTGGTTAGGCTTACCTTGTTGAGTAGTGGGTGAGTCTCTCTCTCTCTCCCTCTCGCTCCCTCCCTATCTCTTTCCATCCCATTTAGGCATGTATAAGTGACTAGTTAGGCTTACCTTGTTGAGTAGTGGGTGAGTCTCTCTCTCTCTCTCTCTATCTCTTTCCATCCCATGTTAGCATGCATAACTGACTAGTTAGACTTACCTGGTTGAATAGTGGTTGAGACTAAAGAAGTCGGCTGTACCCTTCATGAGCTGCTGTTCTTCAGGAGTGAATGAAGGCAAACGGGATACAGTAAGACCTTGAGCACGACTCATGTTCCCTACCACAGCCTTGACGAGCTCCGGATAGTCTCCTACAACCAAATTTCAAATCATATATTTCAAGTTCAAAATCCAAATACAAATCCGAATATAGTTAAACAAAGAGACACGATACACAATAAGACAATTGGCATTACTCATTATCCCTACTATACACCAGATAGTCTCCTACAACTAAATTCAAATTCATATTCAAATTTCAAATCCAATTATAAATCCGAATCCGAATAAAGTTGAATGAAAGAAGAGACACGCGACATAGAGCTCGATGAGCTCCGGACAGTCTCCTACAACCGAATTCAAATTTCACATTTCAAATTCAAATTCAATTTCAAATTCAAGTCTAAAATCCAACTTCAAATGTTAATTTTCAAATTCAAATTCAAATTCAAATTCAAATTCAGATTTCAATTCAAATTCAAATCTAAACTCAAATTCAAATCCAAATTCAAATGTCAGATTCAAATTAAAATTCAAAATTCAACGTATGCTATTCTACATTGCTCGTCTCTATACATGATTATGCTACCCGTTTTATAGTTAGGATGCAAACGTAAGTGTTTGTGGCTGGGTTGAAACCCTTGCGGTTCGCTTGGAAATAGCACCTGCCCGGAGTAATGAATCCAATAACCGGGATAATAATATGAATAACTAATTTGTAAAGCGCTTAGAAATGTGACTATTATTACTACAAGGTTTTGTTATATGTATTATAATCTTCATGTTTAGAACCATGATCATTGTTTAAAAGGTCGTTATTATTCCCCCCCCCCCCCCCCCCCTCCCCTTCACCCCGCCCCCTGAACCCATATTTTTTAGGATACAAACCGTTTCCAAAGATTGGATTCGCTATGTTGCCGAGTTCAAACATCCTCATCCTCTCCGCCGCATCAACATCGGCCTGATTCTCTGGGTCGGCCGGCTCTGTCCAGAACGAGTTGAAGACGATAGAAATTTTCCCGCCCTGTGTTGCGCGGTACTTCTGATCGTACGTGTGCCACGCACGCGCGTGCGCCTTGAGCATGGTATGTCCGACGCGGTAGGCTCCGTAGCCCGGGCGCGTCTTTCCCGGTGCGAATAAGCCTGCCTCGTACCCCTGGATAGCGATCACTTCGGGCTCGTTGATTGTAAGCCAAATCTTCACCTAAAGACATATGTTTAAAACACACACACAAAGAAAAGTAATAACAGTAATGGAAAGTGGTTATAGCGCATAATAATTCGAAAAATTCTGTACGCGCTTTACTTTTTTTTAAAAACAATAATTCATTGACATACATTGTATCAGAACATAGAATACACGAATAAAGAAGAGCAATTAAACCAGACAATAATAACATAAATGCAAGCAATCATTTACGTACGTGTGAAAAATAGCCTTTATTGTGCGAAATGCACCACGTGGAACAAGCTCCAAAAAAACCCAGAAAAGTACGGCTAAATAAGCTAAAGAACTTATCTCTCCACAAAACCAACTAACCAATTAACCACTATTTTACTTAGGGAATGTTGTGGATGTCATATGGTTGTGGATAATAGTATTTTTCATAGTTCTGCAACTCCCGCCCTCGTTTCAATATTCTACTTTATACATTTTTCCGATCTGTTTTCATCATGACGTTTATTTTGTTTAAAGATCCGATTTTACCCCCCCCCCCCCCGCCCCATCCACCCGACGCAGCCTATTACTGAGTCAGAAGAGGCCATGGCTGCTTTGACAATCGTCATGATATCCAAGAGTAAAATCATCATTTTCATTTGCCTATTAATCAATCAATAATAATGATTGCTTTTTAATCTTTTTTCTTGCCCCTGCACCATCCCAATCATTATTTCTCCACTGGCGGAGAAGTAGATACCAAATGTTATATGTTGAAATATACCGACAGCCATTATCAAATTCGAATTTTCCGCCAGCAATGTTTAATGAGGGATGTGGAGCGGGGGGGGGGGGGTAGTATCACTCCAAAAGACCCCTGATGAAGAATGATTCAATACCTTATCGCCGAACTCATTGAAACAAAAGTCGGCATACGCCTGAAAGTAGGGGACCATCATCTCATTTTCCCATCCACCGAGTTCTTCTAACATCTGAGGATGATCGAAATGATAGAGGGTAACAGCGGGTTGGATACCAGCTTCCAGGAGGGAATCAATCAAACGGTGGTAGTACTGCACCCCTGCGGGATTCACCTGTATTGGAAGAAAAATGATGACATCATTAAGGTATAATAAACAGGGCCTCATGGAAGACCACCAAATTGGTGATATGTGCCACCCTGTATAAATATCAGAAATAAATAAATAAATAAATAAATAAATGATGCATGAGCTAGGGCCAAGTTGGTAATCTTTGGCAATCTTCTTCTTCCTTTTTTGTGGCCATTCTCGACCCAGGTGTAGTAAAGGGGTAATTGGCAGGATTTATTCTTGATGCTTCCGAATCTAAATTCGGTGTAATCATTTTAAAGTTCTTTGGAAAATAGAGGATAACAGAGAGTTGGCTACCAACATCATCGAGGGCACCAATAGGACGGTGGTAGGATTGCACCCCTGCGGGATTCATACATTGGTCTGTTGTTATAAATTATTGTCGACATTTATGTGGGTATACCAGGAGAAAACTGCGATTGGAAAATGATTTAAAAATCAGTTCAGTTTTCGGTACGGAAAGAACTCAAAGCAATGATACGAATGAGTAGACATTTACAAAAGAGCATATTATGCAGAGAAATTGTAAATTTTGTCTCACATCTGCCTTTCAGAGGGGTGGGTGTGCTTACCTGATGAGTGAACCCAGTCGGGAATATTCTTGACCAGGAGAGAGAGAACCGATAGTGCGTCAGACCGAGCTCCTTCATCATTTCGACGTCGCGTTCAAAGTTATGATAGCTATCGCAGGCGATGTCGCCATTCTGGTTGTCATATGTCTTTCCAGGGATGTGAGTGAAAACGTCCCAGATATTTGGCCCTGTGGTGATGGGTGTAAATTCAATTCATTGCAATCCCTAATAATTTAATTTCCATATTAAACCCAATCACAACATGAAACCAAAACAAAGGATAAAATGACATGGAAAATAAAACTTATTTGTAATTATACAATAGTTAATCATAGCATCTAATTAGAAAAGGTGAAATATGAAATAAAAAATGATAATTAAATACATAAGAAAATGAATAAATTAGTAAACGAATAAATAGATAAATTGATAGATGATAAATAGATAGATATTAAATAATTAAAACACAACAGGCCAAATAATGTCTAGGTGACAGATATTGCAATGCGCACATTTTGTATTTCTTATTAAAAACATATACAAACCCAAGACCGTTTTATAGCATTAAGCATATAAACGCATCATATACAATCCCTGGGTCCCGTTTGATAAAGAGTTGCTCCAATCAATCGCATGTTCGCAGTCTCCTATCTCTTATAGTTGCAAATGATATAAACTCTTTTCTCCTCCCCCGGCCCCCTTGGGCTGCCAAGTGAAAATGTGATATTAAAGCAGGGGGGGGGGGAATGCTGGAGAGGAGGACTACTAATCTATTTTATTTTTTTCAGGGGGGGGGGGGGAGGGAGTGAAGCGCCGTTTTAGCATGACTTTCTTTTTAACTCTTACTTTCACCTATCTCAGATAAACCTAAGTTTTTGGTTGATGCTTTATATGTAGTTGATAATGCATGATTAAAATAAAGGGAGAGAGAGAGAGAGAGAACCACCATCATTTTGCAATGGTTTAGGGTTTGTGTAATGTACATTTGAAACCATTTCTTAGCGTCTCAACCCTAAAAAAATAGCAAAACTATTTTTGAGGAAAAGCATTATACTGAACTGAATAAAGAATAGGAGCTTTATATTGGATCATACTAATACTGATACGGGCTAAAGACAATGTGGTATTTGTATAGAGGTATTCCAAAATGACACTCTGATAAACAACATTTGTTCTTGTATCATAATGTATATACGAATTATACAACTGATCTTTATGATTTCTTAACGTGACATAGCTTCTTCTCCCCCTGCAAACAAAAAAGGAAAACAAAGATATTTAATAAAAGGATCATGCGACAAATAATCATTGTGATTTAAATTGATGCAAGGATTTTTTTGAATATGTAATGCTTTTCACCAAAATCTTCTTTGTAAAAACGACTTTTACAAATCACAGCCATGCAAATCTGCCACTGTGTTGTAAGATCACTTTCAGATTAGGAGAAGTGTATTATTTAATGAGTATTTTACATTGAATGGAACGTCTCAACTCAGTAAGCATGGCTGAGATTTGTAAAAGTTGTTTTTAAAAAGAAGATTCTGGTGAATAGCAGTGCTTATTCAAACAAATATTCGCATCAATTTGAATCACAATCATTATTTGTCGCCTAATCTCTTTTAATGACCTTGTTTTCTTTCTCGTTTGGGGAGAAGGGGAGAAGAAGATATGTCACGTTAAAGACATCATAAAGATCAGTGTTGTATGCGTATATATTATATACACAGGTCCCGCGGAACGTTTATCAAAGTGGAGGGCTAAAGTATTTACGATCAGGTAGAGGGTAGCGAGCGTAAATTGGTGTGGGGGGTTCAGGGGTTTTAGGCATTTAATTACGGTCAGAGAAGCACAAGTTTTTTGATGCCGCATTTGTGTCACTGGCAGGTCAGGGGGGGGGGCGTTTTTAATTTTATTTCGTAAGGTAAAATTTACGTTACTATCCTATTTTTTTACCGATTTGGGAGGCTAGGGGGTGGGCTGGTAGAATCGGCCCGTGGATCCGCGCCTGTCCAAAATAGCACACACACAAAATCGCCTCGCCGCTACGCGGCTCAGTAAAGAAAGAATGTAAAGGTTGCTCCGAATAATGAGGAGGAAATAATGTGCAGAACGTGAAAAAATCAAGAGAATGTCATCAGGGGATGAAAGTCAGTAACAGCTATGTAGTTTATAAATGTGTAAGAGGGAAAATGCTGATTAAAATGATAATGATGAAATAGCAAAAAATTGAGGAGTATCATAGGTACCAATTCAATGGATATTTGTATAAAAAAGAGCCCCCGTCAGTACTTAAAGAGCCCCCGTGAAAAGGCTCACGGGGGCTCTTTTGGGGGGGGAAGAGCCCCCGTGGACAAAAAAAAATAATTTGAGCCCCGAGTATCATATTACATCAACTTTGACTCCAATGTAAAGTTTAAATATAAAATTTGCCAGTTATCGTCTTGATTGAATAAATCACATCCAAACAGATCCACATCCGCAAATAATTGTATAATGTATTATAATGTTTGAGGGAATTTAGTATTTATGACAGTTTATCATTTCGTTTTTGAGAATAACAATTTACATATATATGTATTTTCTCGTTTATAATTCATTGTCAGAAAAAATAGTTGTTGTACTTTATATTATTATTATCGAAAAACTGTATACTTACATGATTGCAGAAGAAAATCAAATCAAATCAAATCAAATGAAATATAACTACCCTTTCCATCCTCACTCCAAGCTCCCTCTATCTGATAGGCTGACGTACCAACACCCCAGATAAATCCCTCGGGGAAGGTTCCGTGGAGAAAGGTGTCGCGTTCCGGATCATTGAAGACATCTTCGAAGACGAACTCCGTCGTCGACGAGGAGATCAATGTTAGGAATACGACGATCAGGGCGATGAACATGCCGGGGCGCGCCATGGTTTTCACTTTGATATTTCTAGGTACTGAAGTAGAATTGAGAGAAAACGATATTGCTTTATTGAAACAGAGGCAGCGCTCAAAATACACGGGGGCGATGGGCGATTCGACCCCGTCAGGTTGCTCATGGGGGCGATTGCAAAATTAAAAATCGCCCCCGTGGAAATATAAAATAAAGATTATCTTTTCTGTTATAACTTTAATACAATATTGAGTTTCAATTTTCAAACCCTAAACCAATGAAATGGAACTTAGATTAGCGTGCAAGATTGCTCGTTCTATGAGTATTATTAACGATTCAGCTCGCAGTGCAGTGCTGCCGTCAGCAGTGGTTATAGGCCTACTGCGCCGTTAGTAACGGTACGTGTTCACGCTGCCGCCCCATATCTAGCTGCTGGAGCTGGAGGCGATCGCGCAAGGGCAGAAACATGGTCATGGAGAAGTTTTTCGTCGTGAAAAGCGTATACCCGCTGAAATCTGGTGATTTCAAATGACCAGCAAATAGTGAACCTCGACGAGTAAATCAAAATTAGGGACTTTTAGATTTGCATGACGAGAACGTGGACTGCAACGTGTGACCTCCTTATAAGGCACTGCCAGTGCTTAAAAGGACGTCACATGATTGTGACTGCCAGTGCCTTAAAAGGACGTCACATGATTGTGACTGCCGGTGCCTTAAAAGGACGTAACACGTCCACGCAAATCTAAAATTCCCTATTGGGAAGAAGAGGAAGACCAAGATGTTGTTGAATGATATGGTAACATGGGCAGATCTACAGGGGGGGGGGGGGGGGTTTAGGGGGCTTAACATTTTTGAGCAGACTCAGGCGGCCGGTGAATATTAAAGCGGGGGATGCTGGAGAGGAGGACCACTAATTTTTTTTTTTTAACTCTCACTTTCACCTATCCCAGATAACCCTAAGTTTTGTGTTGCTGCTTTATGTAGATGATAATGCATGATTACAATAAATAGAGAGAGAGAGAGAGAGAGAGAGAACCACCATCATTATGCAATGGTTCAAGGTTTGTGTAATGTACGTTTGAAACCATTTCTTAGCGTCTCAACCCTAAAAAAATAGCGAAACTATTTTTGAGGAAAAGCATTATACTGAACTGAATAAAGAATAATAACTTTATATTGGCTCATACTAATACTGATACGGGCTAAATACAATGTGGTATCGGCACAGTAAGATCGGGTATTTGTATAGAGGTATTCCAAAATGACATTCTGATAATCAACATTTTGTTCTGTTATCATATTTATATACGCATAATACAACTGATCTTTGTGATTTCTTAACGTGACATAGCTTCTTGTCCCCCTGCAAACAAAAAAGAAAACAAGGATATTTAATAAAAGGATCATGCGACAAAATAATCATTGTGATTTAAATTGATGCAAGGATTTTTTTTGAATAAGCAATGCTTTTCACCAAAATATTCTTTGTAAAAATGACTTTTAAAAATCTCAGTCATGCAATTCTGCCACTGTGTTGTAAGATCACTTTTACATTAGGAGAAGTGTATTTCTTTGATGAGTATTTTAAATTGAATGGAACGTCTCAACTCAGTAAGCATGGCTGAGATTTGTAAAAGTTGTTTTTACAAAGAAGATTCTGGTGAATAGCAGTGCTTATTCAAACAAATATTCGCATCAAATTGAATCACAATCATTATTTGTCGCTTAATCTCTTTTAATGACCTTGTTTTCTTTCTCGTTCCAGTTCAGTTCAGTTCATTTTATTCAAAACCACACAAAGCATGATATAATCTGTTACATAAAAAAGAGACTGATAATGGTACATCAATCAACATATTCTAACTTGATTACATAATAAACTGAATGGTTTTAGGACCCCTTTAGAAGCTAAGCTTGTGAGTGGGGCCCTATATAGTCAACAAAGTACATACATTTACAGTAAAAAGAACTAGAAATGTTATACTTGTTCGGAACAAGTATAGGTGGGCTGTTCCAACTAAAATATAACAAAATCGAACAAAAATGAGCGATATACTGCTAAAAAAATACAATATCGTGTAGATTTACGATGTGAACGAAATTCACTTGCACTGATAGGCATAACACTCAAATTAAGAAATTGTTGACATGTGCCTTTTAATTGAAATTTTCACTATGATGACGTCTTCAAAATGAAAAACAATGGCCATTGAGCTTGTAGAAAACTGTCTAAGCTACAACATGTGAAAATTTGGAGAGAAAAAAAATCGATTAATATTTACAGAGATACACTCAATTTTCCATAAATTTGCTGACGTCATAATATGTCAATTCGTAATTTGAGTTTGAATGCCATCATGATGACCTCATAATATTTTGTAATGGCCAAATGAGAAATGAAATCATATCTACGACTCATACTCTATCAAAATATGAGAACAATTGGGTGTCTAGGTGCATCCCAAATAGCTATGATGAAATTTGTGTAAGCATGTTTTTGCCAATTATGCTATGTATTACATGTGCTCGTGCGCACGGCCATTTATCTTAAACAGACGCTCATTCCGTTATGAAATATCATGAAGAACACAAAAGCGTTTGCCTATAGAACCAAAGACGTTTAAATATAATTACTCTGTTTTTATTAAAAAGTGATTTTGAGCATTTTAAAATTCAGACGCGCGCTGATTTTGATGAGATGTTATGTCGAACCTTGACCTAAAGTTCATGTGTTTTAAATATGGTTCAGTTTTGATGACTCGTTATGAAGATATGATTAACAGTTGATTTCCACAAAATAGCGCCTGGATGACGTCACGATGATCCTGAGTTACTGAAAAGTAAGACAATTCTAATTAAGACTAATATCAATCATCATGCAAGATTCATGATAAAGGATTTATTCATTCTTGATATATCCTGCTAAAAAATTAATGGCAGAATATGCTAATGTTTTAAATAATTAAGAATGCATTTTCACAATTTTCTATTATCTTCTAAAGTGCTCTTCCTATTAAGGTCTATCCATATGAAAAGTTTCAACTGTGTAGTATATTGACCATTATGGATCTATGGAAGATAGATTGAGCCAATATATGACCATTGGCCCCGTACAATAAGCAGTTACACCTTTGACCCTTATTGATATAACGAAGAAAGCATTTTCACAATTTCATTTTATTCCATGAAATGCTCTACCCGTCATGTTCTACCTATATTGTGCTGCGCATAGATGCAATCAGTTTATTTTGGGCCATTACAAGAAGTGGGTTATTGATATGGACAAATGCTCATGTACCCTTTAAGCTCATTTTATGTATTTTATTACCAGAGGGAAAATAGTCGGTCAGTCACTCAATAGTGTCTGATAGTAAAGTCTAGAAAGTAAAGGGGTTTGCTTTATTAATTTGAGGTACTATAAAACTACTAACATTTAAATTTCACAAATAGGACATACGTGACATATGCATAATTCCTGCAATGTTCTACAAAATTTGCCAATTCAACATTCAGTTGAAAATTGTGACATGATCCCATCATCTAATCGAAAAATTAAAATCACAATTTTTATAGACCATAGTCTCAGCTATAACATACCAAAATTTGGGAGAGAATAGAGCTCAAATGAGCGAGATAGTGCTGAAAGATTGATGTCATGTAGATTCATAATGTGAACGAAATTGGCACCTTCCATAGGCTTAACACGCAAATTAAGAAAATCTGCCAAGTTACCTTTAATCGCAATTTTGACTATGATGACGTCATCAAAGTGAAAAATAATGTGTCGTGATCTTGGAGACAATTGCCTCAACTACAATATATTAACATTAGGAAGAGAATCATTCAATATTTACAGAGATACAATCAATATTCCATAAATATGCTGACGTCATAATATGCAAAATTCGTATTTTGAGTTCCAAGGTCAATATGATGATGACACGATATAGTTAATGGCCAAATGAGACATGAAATCACATCTCCGACTCATACTCTATCCGAATATGAAAACAAATTGAGGGTTCTCGTGCATCCCAAAGAGCCAGAAGGGTTTTGTATAGGCATGTTGTTGCCCATATATGCTATGTATTACAAGAGTTCGCGCGCACGGACATTTTTCTTGAACGGACGCTCATTCCCTTATTAATGGTCATAAAGGGATAAACAAGGTATCAAATTGTTCGGGAAGAAATGAGGAATACTGTGTCAACAAATACTCGGGATGAATTATTTTGCGTTCGGCCGTGACAAACGAAAACGCGCGCGCATGCGCGTGCGCGCGACTTTTTATAAAACGCCATTGATAATAATAGCGTACGCGCGCGTTTTTTGACCTGAAATTGACCGGACTGATATTGACCTTGATCATGATAAATATGAATGAGAAATTCCTTTCCGTTACGAAGATATGATCATATTTTGATTTTCACAAAATGGCGCCTAGATGACGTTATCAGTCAAGGTCAAAGTTGAAAACCTTATTATGCTCTTTCCTCATGCCAATGCATATGTGTGCCAAATTTCAAGGCATTTGGTTGAGCCATTTTTAAGTTATCCTGCTAGCAAAAAAGTGGGTCGAAATAAGAAAAATATCCTAACGAAAACATAAGGTGGTCTGTATTATATACAGCCCACCTGATAAGAAAATACTAAGATGCAAATAAAAACTATGTCAGTCTTTCAAGTAGGTACGTTTTAGATAACCTTCTAAACCTAGAAAGAGTTGTACTATTTTTTATATCATCAGGCACACTGTTCCATTCTTTAATGCGAGGGGAGAAGAAGATATGTCATAGTGTGGTACGGTATGTCACTGAAACAGCCCCCCGTACGACTTTTGTGCCAAAATTGATTATCAAAGTGGGGGGGGGGGGGGGGTTGGGGGGCAAAAGTATTTACGATCAGGTAGAGGGTAGCGAGCGTAAATTGGTGTGGGGATTCAGGGGGTGGAGCCCCGGAAGCTCAGGGGTTTTAGGCATTTAATTACGGTCAGAGAAGCAATAATATTTTGATGCCGCATTTATGTCACTGGCAGGTTAGGGGGAGGGGGGTGTTGTTAAGGTTAAATTTACGTTATTATCCTACTTTTTTACCGGTTTGGGAGGCTAGGGGGGGGCGGGCCGTTAGAATCGGCCCGTGGATCCGCGGCTGTACAAAAAAGCACCAAAAACAGAATCGCTCATTAAAGAAAGAATGTAAAGGTTGCTCAGAATAATGAGGAGGAAATAATGTGCAGATCGGGAAGAAAGTCAGTCAACAGCTATGTACATGTAGCTTGTAAATTTGTAAGAGGGAAAATGCTGATTAAAATGATAATGATGAAATAGCAAATAATTGAGGAGTATCATAGGTACCAATTCAATGGAAATTTGTATAAAAAAGAGCCCCCGTCAGTACTAAAAGAGCCCCCGTGAGAAGGCTCACGGGGGCTCTTTTTGGGGGGGAAGAGCCCCCGTGGACAAAAAAATTAATTTGAGCCCTGAACAGAGGTGTTTTTCGGCTCATCAGTTAAATGTATATTATATCAGAGCTACATGCACACAATCACTACTCTCTCTCTGTGCATGCTCTGTGCCTGTCTCTCTCTCTCTCTCTCTCTCTACCACATTTTCCGTTTCATACTTTCATAACTGTGATTACATTATTTCCGCATACGATGCTTAATCAAAGCTATTCTTCACGGTTATGCATATTAATGAGAATTTTATAAATTTAGCTGGTATTTGAGCCCATAAAATTCCAACTTGCGACACAAGGCATTGAAACAATGTCATTGTTTTCGTCGATTGGGTATGTTCTTTTTCGAGTAAAAATGTCACTAAAAGTACTCGTATCATTTTCTGGATAGGGCGTTTTGATTGTACGGCTGTTTTCTTGAGGCAATGTCGTTTTCAAAATGTGTTACTCTCCCAACCGTAGACATGCTTGGAGCAGGGAACAAATTGCAGTTTCCCATAAAATTCAGGTGTGTTGACAAAGGGATTATTGCTCTCGTCAACACAGGTGATTGTATATGCAAATTTATCGCTGCTGCAACGTTTGCAACAGGAGTAAATTTGGAAAACGACATTGCCTAACGAAAAGAGTAGTGGAATCAAAACGCGTTACCCAAAGTATTATGATCTTGGCATAGTTAAGATCTCTGATTTCGTGGCATCCATGCTAAGACTAATGTTTTTTGGTATATACATGACTCGAGCGCATGCAAATATTTGCGCTTTTGTCAATGATGCCCCCCCCCCCAAAAAAAAGAAGGAAGATCTATAACCGAGCATGCAGACTTCAAATACGCTAGTGCTTACCATGCATACGCTTCTGAAACTGAACATTTTCCCTCCTTCTCTTGATCTCCCCTCGATATTCTATATTTTTCCCTCTTGTTCTCACTCAAGTGTTTTCTTTATTTCTCACTTTTGTATCAATTCCCCCCCCCCCCTCTCCCCATCTCTCTCCCCCTCTCCGTTTCTCACTCACGAACCACCCCCCCCCCCCCGGCCCCTCTCTCTCTCTCTCTTTACCATTTCGTTTCATCTTTCATTCATTACCAAAATGCTCGAGTTCTTCTTTTTTAACAATAAAATTATCCACAATATCCCATTTTCCCTCGCTGACACACACTCACAAAGTTCCCAAGCTTCCAATGGCTCCCTTTTACTCTGGAATGTCATCAATCAACATGCGATCATTTACAATGAATGGTTCGGCAAGGACAAAATAATACATATCAATACAATATATCAATATATAATCAATACAAGCTAGTTTAGCCATGCAATATATTCTCCTAAAGTCATACAAATTATGCTTGAATAAGTGAAGAACTTACCTATCTGCACAGCAACGTGGAAGAGGTTGTCGAAAACTGCATGTGTGATCTATATTCCCAGTAGCCTCTTGTCGATGGCCCTCGTCTTGTTGGAGTCCGTAAATTCTGGCGAGCGAAGCCGCACTTCTGGTCAAGAATAGTAGAAGAAGCATCTGCATAAAAAGGATGGATCCTTCACTGAATAGGGATTCTTGCTATACACTTTTACCTTTGTGTAAATAATAAAAGGTCCACGGGCGTGGTTGTTAGAAGCTAAAACTACATAAAACTCTCTCCAATTTTTGCAGAGGGAGAGCCTTTGTCGAGAGTCTTTAATAATAAAAGGGATAAATCCTTCACTGAATAGGGATTCTTGCTATATGTAATCTTTCTTCGCTCCAGTGATCCCGAGGCAGCAGACAGCAAGAAATTGTGTAAATAATTTGCTGTTGCCGGGAGTCTCGCATGAGGCGGAGCCCCAGGAAGTTCTTGAACTTTAAAAAAATTAGGAAATTCCAAATAGTCGTTATGAGCGATAGAAATTGTAATTTCCTCCTTTAGAGTCACATAACCCCTTTCATTTCATTTTAGAATTTAACCTCTCTTTCTCTGTTTTAAAGACAATTTCATATAACTTCTGTTTTCGTATTGTTGTACTTTCGTCCACAGACTACTTAAGCACATGTCGAGCCAACTCAGTCGGAAATGTAATATGTAGGCCTAAGTGTAAAGTTAAGTTTCATGTTCTTCCTTGTTTCTTTCTTTCTTTCTTTCTCTCCCTCTCTCTGTCTCTCTCCTTTTCCTCTATATTCTTTTTTAAAAACATTATTCTTTCTTTTCTTCTCATTTTTCTGTGTGTGACATGCGTTACGCGTACGTCTATCAATGTCTTAATATGGTATATTTACATTTTGATGTTTCCCTTTATAGGTGCACCTTATATTCCAGAAAGTGCCCTATTTTGATGGTGCCCCCTCCCCCATGTATTGATCTCGATAAAAAAATAACTTTCTCGTTAATTCTATTTCCAATATCTCTAATACTTGCACTAATCTCCAATTTCAACAAAAAATCGTCTACTTTCTCTCAAGACAACATTATATAAAGGATTCATTAATGCAAGGCTATCTCGCGAGTAATCTCTCAATTTCTAACTTCCTGCTTTCCTCATCTCCCAGTCTCCCTTGCTTTAATATTCCTCGTTACTTCCTTCCAATTGAACTGCAACCTAATTGATGTTATACACTGTATCTATTCTTCAACTACAGGTAGATGCAAATGTTACTCAAAATCCATTATATAAATCACACTCAGGATACAGCCAATTGACGAGAATTGCTTCAATCTATATTTTACATGTATCATTAATATATGGTTTTACAATGGCTATGGTGATGAGTTGTGTAGGTAACATGTTGATGTGTTTGTTAAAATGTATTACCATTGTGCACCTTCTTGGTTACAAAAAAAAATATGTGTATGTATTAACGTAAGTTCGTGCCTTTACATATCACAGTAGAAATCAATGTTTTATATTTGATGCAGAATAATATTAATATTTGGAGATTAGATACACAAACAGTTTCCATAACCGTTCAAGTGTTTCAAGAAAAAGTTAAGCAAACTTTCTCCTGGATGTAAATTCACACTAGCGTATAGCACTAGCGAGCTCTCCGATCCAGGCTAGACTCTTCGCGAGCGGTTTCATTGGAATTTTAAGCGGTTTCATTGGAATTAATCGAGAAATTCCCCTCGCTAGCGTGTAAATAAAAACGCCGGCCGGTGTGACCGCGTAGAATGTAACCCGCACCGATCGTCCGACTATTAGAGATCGATCGAGAGCGGACGATCGGCTCGGATTTTATCCGCGCAGAATGTCCGTGTCGGACATTCCGTGCGCGCCTCAAATGTCTGACGGACAATCCGTGCGGAAGAGGTCTCGCACCAATAGTCCGCCTGCCGCACCGAATGTCCGTACTCTAGTCCACACATATACATAGTCAATATAGTGGAGGCTGTTAGGGCTAAATAGGGGTTGTTTGGTGGAGATTCTTCTAAAAGCACCAAATTTGGCCCAGAGGTAGATTATACCATACTTTTACGATTTCTTCCGGACGCCAAGAAGGGCACCCTCTGGGTATGCCATATTGGGCAAATCCAAAATGGCCGCCATCGGAGTTAAAGGTCAAGCGTAGTTCCAAAAGGAAAAGCGGTTGTATGATAATAGTTTATATATTTATGGGGTTTTGGGGGTCAGAGAATATGATTTTGATGTTCTTTCATCGATTTAAGGTCTCCTAGGGTCTGCCATACTAGTCATATTGGTCAAATCCAAAATGGCCGCCATCTGATAGTTACACATAAAGTGTAGTTACGAAAGGAATTGGGCTAGTATGATAAAAGTTTATATATCTATGGGGTTTTGGGGGTCAGAGAATCTGATTATGATATTCTTTCATCAATTTGAGATCTCCTTGGGGCTGCCATACTGGTCATATTGGTCAAATCCAAAATGGCCGCCATCTGATAGTAACAGGTCAAGTGTAGTTACCAAAGAAAATGGGCTAGGATGATAAAAGTTTATATATTTATGGGGTTTTCGGGGTCAGAGAATCTGAATATGATATTCTTTCATCGATTTGAGATCTCCTCGGGTCATACTAGTAATATTGGTCAAATCCAAAATGGCCGCCATCTGATAGTTACAGATCAATAGTAGTTCCAAAAGGAAAAGAGCTCAAATGATAAAAAAAAAATTATATAGTCAGGGGGTTTTCTGGGTCAGAGAATCTGATTATGATGTTGCTTGTATCAATTGCAGGTCTACTTGGGGCTGTCATGCTGGCCATATTGGCCAAATAAAAAATGGCCGCCATCCGAGTTAAAGGTCAAGCGTAGTTTCAAAAGGAAAAGGACCAGTATGATAAAAGTTGATGAATTCATGGGGTTTCCGGGGTCGGATAATCTGATTATGATGTTCTTTTATCAATTTTATTTCACCATCCTGTCCCAAGGCTACAATGAAGTCCATTTCCTGGTTGAAGAAGATGAGGGAAGATGCGACAAATTCACACTTGAGTGGGTTTAAATCTTGGCCTGCGCCCATATGTTTCATCAATATGCAAACTTTCCTCTGTGAAATGCATAATAAATTCGTTTTCGAGGATTGGCAAGGAAAATAGATAAACAGTAGAAACAGACCATGAATAAAGAAATAAACAGCTTGTTCGATTTGTTTTGAAGCATTATATTCAAAGACCCGGACAGCTTTATCTTTATTATCCATATAAATAACGTCTATAATCACTGTCAGACGGGAGATAATACCAATACGAAATGCATTAAGCAACGTCTAGACATAAAGGTCGAATCTCAACTTTAGTTTTCTCATTCTTCTTTACATTTCGAAGCGTTACATGGGATCTTAATAATAACAATAATAATAATTATAAACAATATTTATAAGGCGCTTAATACTGGTGTCTCTAAGCGCACCATATTCTGACTTAACAATTATTTACCAAAACTTATAATAAACACACAACTTATACATCTGTTCTTTATTCAATAAATCATGCATATATAATAATAAAAAATAAGATAAGAGTGAGATCAAACATACATACAAGAGGTCAAACATAGGATCAAACATAGGATCGAACAAACAAAAAATAAGACGATGTGCACCTCCTTTGACCGACTCACAACTGCAGAATATTATTTATGAATTAAAAAGGTGCGTTTTCAGCAAGGACTTGAATTGGTCGAGAGAATGAATATTATGAAAGTGCGCTGGTAATTTGTTTCAAAGGATAGGGGCCTTTACTGAGAAAGCTCGATCGCCATATTTTGTAACGGTACGAGGTCCGAGGGTTAACTGCAAGGTTGATGATGATCGAAGAGGTCTTAAAGAACTAGAAGAACGTAAGGAAATCAAATCTGAAAGATATTTAGGGGCTTGGCCATGGAGAATTTTGTATGTAAGAAGAAGAACTTTAAATGTTATACGATGGTGTATGGGAAGCCAGTAAAGAGAACGCAATATTGCCGGGGGTTATGTGCTCAAACTTTCTCGAGAGAGTAACAAGCCTTGCAGCAGTATTCTGAATTCTTTGAAGTGGAAGTAGGGACGATTGCGGAAGACCAGAAAAAATTGAATTACAATAATCAAGGTGGGAGGATACAAATGCATGGGTTAATTTTGCAGTTGTGGGCCGGTCAAGTAGTTCCCTAATTTTCCCAATTTTGAAGATTCCAAAAGATGCCGATTTACATACGTTTTTAATGTGCTGTTGAAATGTAAGATTTTTGTCGATTAAAACACCCAGGTCTCGAACGTATTCACTACCCTTCAGTGAGCCATCTCCGGTAACCAAGTCGGGGAAGGAATCGGTGTTTCTGAATTTGGAAGTAGTGTGGATCATTTCAGATTTTCGTTCATAAAGGCAAAGTCTATTCTAAAAACTATCTTAATCCTTTTTTTTTTTTACATACATCAATGCCCCCATTTAAGCATACTTTGAATCTGGTCACGCTTCGAAAAGTTCGTGGCCTAGCATTTTGCTTCTGTTAATGCTCAAATAGAGAGTGTGAACAAATTAGCACGAAGTAGGAGCAGTGCAATTTAAATATCAAGGGATGGATTAGAGTTTATTTCTGAAAGGGCTATTTTATTTTCATGAGTCCTTTCACTTCATTGAAGAAATAACCTCTCTTTATATCTTAGAGACACTTTCTCTTGAAAGTCAAATAAACTCGAGAGCATCCTGGGGCTCCGCCCTGGAACCCCTGGTACGGGCTCTTCCAGGCCCCTAAATTAAGCTGTGCCATATTGTACGGATCCATTAGAAAGCATAGTTCTCCTATGCAAACTTCCTCTGTGAAATGCATAATAAATTCGTTTTCGATGGTTGGCAATGAAAATAGATAAACAGTAGAAACAAACCATGAATAAAGAAATAAACAGCTTGTTCGATTTGTTTTGAAGCATTATCTTTAAAAACCCAGACAGCTTTATCCATATTATCCTTAAAAAATAACGTCTATAATCACTCTGAGATGGAATAAAATACCAATACGAATTGCATTATGCAACGTCTAGACATAAAGGTCGAGTCCCTGAGAGGGTCTTGACCCCAAACCGCCAACAAAAAAATGAA